TAGGTAAGCTGAAGTGCTTTTCCTTTAGACGAAAAAAATAAATAAATAAAATGTATTGTGCTGCTAAGTAACAAATTCAAATGTTTAAGAAAAAAAATCTGATTTTACTTACAAAAAGAACGCTACTTTAAAATCGCGGTTTTAGATGTCTAAATCAATAGAGTAAGTATACGTTCGAATTTTACACTTTCTTGGGTCAAATGTTTGTTCTAAAAGTGGACATATGCAATATTCTAGATTTTTTGCACATTGAGTCAGAAAACCTTATGGTCTATTTTAATTTTGAAATTAAAAATGTCTGGTGTGCACAAATTAGTTCGTTTAAATCACTCAAAGATTTAATAAATTATATTATATATTATTATTAATTTTTTAATAAATTATATTATGAAATTTTGTCTTTGACTTTACGAAATTAAAAGTACATAAGGCCAAGGATATTTTTAGTTACGTCAGCAGTTTTTACTTATCAGTGACTCACAAGGCAACAACGACTGGCTCATACGTTCACAGAGGTAACTAATGAATACCAAATAGTCCAAAATCACTCTATTTGGTTCACCTCTGTGTTGTGCATACAAGATCATGTTAAAGTTTGACCTACTAAATCAAACTTATAATAATAACTAAAGTCATTACTTTTTAAAAATTGGGTTTATTCATTTATTATGGTAGCATAAACAGAAAAAACAAGTAGTTTCATTTATTTTATTAAATGTTAAAAAAAACGGTAATTCTAAACATAAAAGTAAAGCATTTCTGTTGGATCATAACAAAATATCACAAAATAAAACAACTTCTTAAAAAATACTTACCCCATAACCTGGGTCGAGATTTGTGTATATATTGTAGATGATGTTGAAATAAAAAACTAAATTCTAGCTACCCATAAATACAGATGATAACACTTTTAATTTTTTGTTCACAACTTTCAAATGAAGCATATTAGAAAAAAAACTTTTGAAATGCAAAATTTAACACGTAAGAATTTTTTTGTGCACAATAAAGGAGTGGATAACCCTACTTGATAAATTTTCAGACGTAATTTTCCCCTCTAAAAGTGTTCATGGGCACCTAGAGTTTTCCACAGTTTCTTACTTTAGTATTCTCTATGATATATACTTGTACAAATCTCCACCCAGGTTGAGGTTACATTATCACAAATTTTAATCACATCACTTAAAAAAAACTAGAATTAAATCAAATATTTTTTCAATATTTTTTTTTCAAAAACTAAACTGCCTCTTCTGAATACCTGAGGTGGAGGTAGTTTCATTATATATTCATTTTCTTGGATCTCCCCCTGATCTTTAATGTCCGGAAACAAAAAAGCATCCGGAATTTTTGAATTCCTTTTCAAAAAATCACAAAAAATAGGGTTAAGTGATAACACTTTACCAATGTAACATTTTTTGTTTTGTTTTTGAGTTGTTAATTGTACTATAATATAATCGTCTATATTTAAGTCTGGTTTAGAACGATCAGTCTTACTATTTTCAGCCTTGAGATTCAAACGAGCATTCAAATCATCAGAATAATTGGAAGAATTCAAACTTTCGGTGTCCGTGCTGTCATCATATTCGATACTACTTGGGTTGTCTAAATCAGATGAGTCACTTGATATATTATAGCGTCTTTTTTGTTTTCCAATTTGGACTGGTTTTTGAATTTGAGATGCAACTTTATGTTGAAGGCAGGTATCTATTTCTGAGTTAACTCTACTACTATTACATTTCTTATTTTGACAAAATCTTTTGAGACGATCCACACTGACACGATCCTTTTCATTGTCTAACAGCCAGCAAAGTGAAGACTTTTTTATAACTTTTGTTGTATTATCTAAGCGTATTCTGACTAGATCACCTTTCTCAACAAAAATATCGTCACTATCAAAACTTCTAAGGTGTATGTCTCTGTCAAATTTCTTAGATTCGTACGAAATTGTGCAAAGATCATTTAGTAAATCTTCATCTTGGTCAACTGGATCGTTTTCCAAACTTTGAAATCAGTAGTTACGTTTCATGGCTATTTGAGAATTGTTGTAATTTTCAATGTGATCGCACTGTTCTTCACTAAACATTTCATCTTCAACTTCGTCATTGCATTCATTATCTTTACACGGAGGCAAAAATACATAGTTGAAATCTATCACTTTTATTCCTAAATCTTCAGTGTCACGCAGACAATCCCGTAAAGCTGATTTTACGGTGCTTTGTATATCTTTGTCTGAAATGTTTCCTAAGTCATCATTTTTCACAAAATCTCTCTCCATGATTGAATTTTTTTTCCTGATTTCTCTAGGAAAAACGAATTTTTTGTCCAAATCGTTTTTAATGTTGTTTATAGTTTGCAGTCTGTCGCTTCGATGCAACATATCTCTTATACTAAAATTAACAATTGTGCTAAAAGTTGAGGTCATTGATCTAAGGCTTCTAAACATACTCTCACAAGTTTGAGAGCTAAATTTCCAAGGCAAGAACATATCATCAGTAAGATTACTTTTTTGAAAAATTTTAATTATTTTTAATAATGCGTATCCATTGAGTTCAACGCATGTGTAGCAATTGGAAGATGAAAAGTTATCTTTTACTGTATACTGTCTTTGGACCTTAATCCATTTTTTCCATATTCGTAGGAAAAATATGCAATACCAAATGTTATATATCCTTCCTACAATAGATAACGTTTTGCCCAGGAATGCTGCCGATATAAGATACATTAGTTTCAAATAAGTTGTTGTTCCTGCACTATTGTCAATGTTGTCAGCTATCATTTTTCTTACTCCCGGGCTACACATTTTTTCTGCCGCTGCATAGTTCATTTTGTCTTCTGCTTCCAAATCCGTTATTGTCAGCATATGTTGATCTTTGGTGTAATTTTTTACTAATATTTCAAGGTGAGCAACTGTAGCAACATAATTCCCTAGAGATAATATTGAGTCTGATTTTAAAAACCTTGTTCTTAACTTTGTGATGATATGTACAGTGTCTTGGACATACGATGTCAGATCGCTGTCACTGAAACCCATTTGGTACAATTCCCAATTATTCAAATGATTTTCGTCGGATGAAATAGGTAGGCGAGAATTTAAACGCATCGCTTTGAGAAGTCGCGTTTTCTTGTTGATTTCTCGCTAATTTCTCATTGATTTCCTCTTGATTTCCTTTCGATTTTCTTTGATTTTCTTTAATTTCCTGTGATTTCCTTTGATTTCCTCTGATTCCCTTTTTGATTTCCTCTAGCGTGTACAATTGATTTCCTCTGCGGTTTACCCCTCGGAGATCGGCGAATCAAGCTATGTGGAAACCTTTAGAATAACAGCTGGAAGAAAATGCGAAACAAAAAATTATGTCCTAAACCCAGTTAATGGCGAAAAAATGTACTTTTTAGCAGGTGGGCCACATTTATTAAAAAATATAAAGCAATGTTTGGTACAAAACAAAATCATTCAATTACCAAATGATTTTGTTGAAAAATATAAACTAACTTTTGATTTGGTTGACGTGCAACACATTAAAGATTTTTGTGATGAAGAAGGCAAATTTGAGCTGCAATTTGCGTCTAAATTAAATATGGTTCTTTTACGATTTAACCATTTTAACAAAATGAAAGTGTCAAATTCTCAAAACCTTTTGAATCGAAATGTTAGTTGTGGAATAAAATTTGATGCGGAAGAGGAGAGAGAAGACAAATCTTCTCTAACGACAGCTGTTTTTATTGATTTTGTACATAGGTGGTTCCAGTTGATTAGTTCTAGATCAACTATTTTGGCCTTGAGCAAGTTTAATATGGCTGTCTATAGAATTCCTTCAAGAGTTTTTAAGTTATTTTTAAACTTAAAAGTCGCTCCTGACAAATTTGGAAAAGCAGTTTGGAAGTCTATTCAAACAGGTGCTAAACTGACTACAACATGAATTTTAGACCTGCAAAACTTGTTTTTGAACGAAAAAAAAACTTATATTTATTAACATCGAGATTTTCTCAAGACTGTTTAGAAAATGTATTTTCCCCAATTCGGTCAAGACATCTGGTTCCTACGGCCATTCAATTTAAATATGACTTAAAAATTTTATCAGTTTCTCAATATTTGGACGTTTCAAATAACTCAAGTTACGAAACCGACAAAACAACACCTTTATTTGTTTTTTTGAGTTACATCTATTAAAAATAATAACAGAAAAGAAAAAGAAAATTTAGCTTTACCTAGAAATTGGAATGTGAAAAAAAAAGAGTTTTCTTTGAGGGAAAAAATGCTTTGTACATTTGCACAGGTTACGTTATTAAAAGCTTGATAAAAAATCAAAATTTTTGCAAAAAATGTATTGCTGCTTTGGTCTCTAAGAAGAATTGTAATGAAAATTATGCAAACTTTGTGGCATTAAAAAAATATAAAACTGGTGCTTTACACTACGCTTCAGAGAACGCGTTCCAAATAGCAATTTTAATAGAGCAAATATTTTGTAATTTTAAAGATTATTTAAAGAATAATAATTTTCGCACTGGTAATGTTTTGGAAGTCATGAAGAAAGAAATTCGGAAAAATTCGACTTATCTCTCAATACAATTTCCAAGAGCTGCAACAGCAAAAAAAAATTACTGCAAGAATGATAGTTTACCGTCTGAAAATCTATACTAGAAAAGCTAAAGAAGAAATAAGAAAAAACAAAGAATATTTTATTTAACTGACAAATTTCGAGATAACAAATAATGATCTTCGATATTTTGTTTATTATATTATGTAAATAAGCTTAATACCGCTAATTCAATAAAATGATTTTAGTAACGCCACTGACCTTTTGGCATTAGTTACATTAGTTTTGGATCAAAAATTGTCTTGTTTGCTCTACTCTTATCATTATATTATTCAGGTACACTAGATTCTGCTACTGCAAAAAATCGATTTTTTAAAGTGGTTATTGAAACACAGTACGCACCACTCCCTTTGAACTAATATTTACCTGTTATGTATTTTAATTTTTAATTCTGTTTTAAATATTCAGAACGGAGAAAGTGCACTCCACGCCGCCGCTTTGTCCGGGAGCCTTCCAGTCTGCAAGCAACTCATCGCCGCCAGCGCGGATCCCAACCTGAAAAACCAAGAGGGATTTTCTCCAGCAGAGGTGGCGCAAAGACACAGACACAGCACCGTCAGCGATTATTTGCGGAATTGTGCTAACCGTCAACTTCCCGCCAAATGACACCGGATTAAACAATTAAACTCGTTTATTACTATGTGAGACTGTTAATTTATTTTTGTTACGATAAGAGACTCGTCTGTGCCTTCTCTTCACGTTTGCTCAAACCGAGACTTTTGAATTTTCCATTTTGATCTTATATTTGAGATTGTTTATTGTTTTCGAGCGGTTTCTATGTGCAATGTGTTTGTTACTCATGTTAAATAATAAATGGAGATGAAAGTGTTTGTGTTCGTTTTGCTCTTACCTCGCTAAAGTGAAGTCGATCTTAAAAATAGATGCAGAGACGTCTACAATGAAATCATTACAGCAGGTTTTTAGAAGTTTTAAATAACTGCAAACAAGATCCAAGAATTCTGAAGGATAGGAGTGGTCATTGTTTTTGACAGTCGTTAGTTTATTCGTGCCAATAGTTTGAGAAGTTAATTTAATTTAAACAATTTATGAAGACGACGATGTTTAGAGATTTTTACTAACAATTTCATCTGACTTTTTAAATTTAAAACTATCTATATTATTCAACAGAGGTAAGTAAATAGAATTTTATAATAAAATAAAGACAATATATTTAAACCTTTTATACTGTGTTATTTTCTATTCCTTTCTTCAACTTACTAAATTAAATTTTTTTCCGAGAGAACGCACCATATATTTTTGCTTATTAAAGTTCCATATTAACAAAGAGGGAGTGATTTATAGTATACAGTTTACTGGTTAATAATAATTGTTCCGATGTTAACATATTTACTTGGAGAAAGGGTTATATCTAAAAATTTCCAGTTTGCTCATTTTTAGAGATAGATCCGATATTTTTCATAAAACTTACAGTTACTTAAAAATTTCGAAATATTTTTTGGAAATGTAGTATTTCATAGCATGTATAATTCATTTCCGTGTGTCTGAGTGTGCGATATGTCAAAACTTTAACCAAGTCTAGTGGAACTGATAAAATATTATCTATTCGTTAGCACTATAAATTTGATAACGGTATCCCACAATTTTGCTTAATTTTAAAACATAATTTCACAGTTTACCGTAGAAACTACAAATTATCGTGAACATTGTACCTACTAACCAGAATTTATTCATTCGTCCCTTCCAAAAACTTGATGACGTCATTCCATATTTTTTAAAGAGAGCCTCTGAAAGTATGCAGGATAGCATGTGTAATTTTTCGGTATCTGTGGGGTGTCGTAAACGTGATATAGAATCTTTTGTTGTTATTTCGAACCGCAAATATTTTAAAACTGATATTTTTGATTATCTAAAATGATTTATAGAAGTCATATTAGATTACTATTTCCTCAATAAAACACGTTTATTTATTGCATTTCAGCATGACAATTTGTGTGCAAATTACAAGGATAATTCGGAAACTAACTCTCTTTTGTTTACAACAAAGATGCGATAATATGTGAGATCTTAATGTTGCTTGGACGAAAAATAAAAAACAATGAATTTTTGTAGCTTAACTTGTTTCACAAAATTATTTTATTAACCGGTGAATGAAGTAAGTGTAAAATTAAATACTATAGACCGATATAACACAAAAGAATAACATTGTACTTTTATCTTTTATAGTAGTAAATACGAAGTGGACAGGATTTAGAAAGCTGTGGGATATTTAACGCAATATATCTGAATACTTCTTCCATAAGAGGCATAAAGTCAAGGAGAAATATTTTAGGTTAAAACAAACCAAATCTGAGTGTTACTTAATAATGAATCTTGGCGTAATTAGAATAACTTACATTATTATGGATTTTTGGTAATAAAATGCGTTAAAATACAACATTTGCACTAGTAATATATTATTTTGTTTTCATGATTAACTACGTTAAATTATGAAGTACCTATACACCCGTAGCGATAAGTGATAACTTGTTTTTCCCAACTTATCAGGTATTAATTAACCAGTTGATAGCTGTAAGTAGGTATGTCCCACTAGAAACGGGAATTCGTTTCCGGAGGAATTTGTTCCACCAAGCCTGCACTTGAAGGTTATGCTACTCATGCAGAAAAAAACAAGGAAACAGATATTTATGCTTTTAATTGTTTAATGTAATTGTATTAATTTCATTATTTCCACTTTTCAGCAATTTATATATCACAATAACATAAAATTATAACCTTAAATGTCTGGTTTCAAATGTCGATGCAAATTTATTTCTAGGTGGTTGGTGTAACAAACAATATAAAAACAAATAAAATGTACGAAATGGAAATTATAAAACGCCCTTTTATCTAATAGAAGATGATCCTGATTTTGTATATAGACAACGTAATAAGTATATTAAGTTACTTTTTTGAGAACATATTTAGAGTGTTTCTAAGAGGGGGGAGAATTTATGGCTTGAGGTGCTTTCTAAATGTACTCCAAGCATGTGGCAAAATTTTTGTAAACATTGTAAAAACTTATTTTGGCAGATTGGAAAAAAAATATGGGAAATCTTTCGTACGAATCTATACCTCCTTTCATTATTTCGCTAGGTGAATCTGATTCAAAATCTGAATTTGAAAATGACGATGATGATACAGATTTTCATAGCGAAATAATGGAAATGGAGTGAATTGTAGCTTGTCGGGGAGTGATATTTTTACGCATCTTTCGTTCTAAATTGACCAAGGTAGTATGTGAAAAACTACCTGACGTACAACAAAATAAGTAGGAGTATAATTTTAGTTACATCATCCACGTTGTTACTTTGCAGCAAATTTTAAGCATTTTCATTTTTTTTTTGTAACTCTTCATGGACCTGGAGAAGGCGTATAGTAACGTTCTTATTTATAGGCGTTTGGAAGTACTTAGTAAAAGTAAATAACGAGCACTTATGTAAGCATTAGTAATAGCTATGTAGATAAATCATTCAATTTAAAGCCGGAAAAATGTTTCAGAAGAGCTAAACCCATCAAAGCACTAGAGCAAGGTTGTTGTCTTTTACCAACCCTTTTAGTAATCTTAGAAAAGGGAAAAAAGAATTTGGAAGATATGGAAATAGTGGGCGAGCAGAACGAACTGATGATTGAGAATTAAAAAGATGAGATGCTAAATGTGGCATGCGACAATAGTCGTATGTAGAACCCCCATTCATATAAAAACAATGTTTAAGTGAAATTTTAGTGTTTGTTCCTTACATATGGAATAAACACTTACAAAAAGCCGAATAACTGTTTTAAATAGCGTAAAGTTTTATGCTTTCTAAGAAATGGATACCGTTAACTTGGTCATTGCTACTGAAAACTGAAAGTATCGGCAACAATGTTTATATTTCTGGCATATTTTTTAACCTTTAATTAAATGAAACATAACCTAACGAAAAAAGTTCAGGGAATTTTGATTCTTCTGCATCGAATACCAACAAACTCACTAGAATTTCATGGCCAACCCTACTATATAAAATCTTGAACGGATAATATTTAGATGTTTTTTCAGCATATAATTCCGAGCTTGTAGTCTTTTAATGTCGAAGTTTCGTGGAGTGTTTATGGATGTTCAACATCCATTCATCTTACTAACTAACAGTATTTACTTATTTTTGATTGGGAGTACAATTATTCGTATTTGATAGATAAAAACATACAAGTGTGTAAAAAAAAAATAAGAGCCAATTGCCTAATGGATTTAAATATTAGTAGTTAAAGGGATTTTTTGCCATATGAACATGTCATTGTAAGAAATAATTCAAAACGCGAGGAGCGTAACTGAAATTTATTTAATTACGGCATTGTTAACAATACTCATTTAATTTAAAACGTCAAAAATTTTAATAGATTCGTAGAATGAAATTGTACAATTTTACCATTATGTATAGTACTTTTAACCGCTGATTTAGTAGAACTTAAGGTTTAATGTAGTGTTGGTGTACAACAACGTCTGAAAACACCTCTAGCTGTCGTAAGCCAGGTAAGAATTGTTGATATTTTGACAGTATGTACTTAAAAATAGACTTATACACTTAATAATGTAATTTAACCCAATTAATTTTTTAATTGTATTAAAAAGTGTGTTAGTGATGCCTGAGTGATTATAAATTTAATTAACTGAAATAAATTGAATAAATATAATTTAAACAAAAAATTAATGTTTTGTTTCATTGCACAGGATAAACGGAAGCGAATCCTACAGTTCCAGTTCAAAATTTATTGTCCATTTGGTCATGTTTCAAAAGATAGAAAGAAATAATTTTAACGTAACTATTTATAACATACTAATAAATAATGTATACGTTTAGAGATTTTCGTTTTCACCCTTTTATATTTCAAGAGAATCCTAAATAAAAATCTTCGTTTTACTGAATGCATTTTAATTCTTTTGTCCTAGTGTTTCACATTTAAGAACCTAAAGAACCAATAACTTGAAATGTTGTTAATTAAAATTTGCCTCTTTATTCCAAACTATAACATAATTTCAAAATATTATTAAAAAGATCGCAATTTACCTGTACGAATTGTTTTAAGTTTATGTTGTAAAATATGTCTTCAATGAGATTTTATCTCTCTTTCGATAGTACATTTTTATATTTTATAATGGTTTAAACAGGATGTTAATAACTTACGTTCTAACAGATCTGTTCTATGGTGATTTCCTTGAACTCTTTGGAATGTGATAATGTTAGTATTAATGTTGTATTGTCTCCATCAAACTTAGTAAATTTATTACTACTACTAATAATAAAAATTGCTAAGTTCAAATCAATTAATTATATTATTAAATAATTGTTCTTTGAAAGTACTTCGAATACATTAAAAAATGTCAAATAAATGTGACATGGTGTTCTATCTGTATAAGAATAATCAATTTTTTTTCATTTTTTTTACTTCAAAATTTTACATGTTCGTTAGGAAGTTAGTACTTGCTGAGATAAGACTGATTTTGGGAAATGACATACCCTCTAAGAAAAGAAAAGGCGGGTGGGCGGGGCTAGTACTTGGCAAGATTAGACTAATTTTGGCAAATGACATATCTTCTAAGAACACAAAGGGTGGGTGGGCGGGGCTAGTGCTTGCTAAAATAAGACTGATTTTGGCAAATAACATACCCTCTAAGAAAAGAAAGGGCGGGTGGGCGGGGCTAGTATTTGCAAGATTAGACTAATTTTGGCAAATGACATATCTTCTAAGACAGCAAAGAGTGGGTGGGCGGGGCTAGTACTTCCTAAGATAAGACTGATTTTGGCAAATAACATAGTCTCTAAGAAAAGAAAGGGCGGGTGGGTGGGGCTAGTAC